CCTCAGAAACAAGCCAGAAACCCGAACTTTTTTTACCGTAAGCATAACTCACTACGGGCTACAAGATGCACGAAACCCCGATTGAAAAGCGCTCCCGCACCTTGGAAGGTTCCCTAGTAAGTCGAGTTTCTTTTCAAATCAAGAAGCTCGCTAATAAGGTACGAATTATCTATTCATCAAAAATATTAATAATTTTTGCAACGATATTATTCTCATCTGTATGCATGGATAGTCGCTTTTGTTGTTCAACTATTTAAAACTCAATAAATGAATTCATTGATATTCGCCCAGTTGAAAACAATGACAATTAAAATCAACGATCATTCATACGAATGAGATGATCGTATGAAAAAGTTTTTGATCATGCTGAGTGGATTTCATGAACATTCAGATATATCTGGTACAACTGTATCTATTGACAAATATTCGTTGAAAGAATTGTATGAATGTCTAGCTGATAAGTTCCTTATAATGAGATACAGCTTGAAACTTTAATATACACACACAAATTCAGTAAAGGGAACTGAGTTGATAGCTGATGAATTGATCTTTTCGAGAAATTTTATTTGTTCTATGTCAAGCTCTCATAGAAAGTATTGGAAAGTGATTCCTGATAGAATTAGCTCTATAATATTGTTTCTGAAGTCAGAAATTCATTGAAATAGTCAATGACTATTATTACATTTGCATTTTGTCTGCTTGTTGATGATAAACAGTTGTTGTTGTCGGACAACTTGATAATTCACCAGGATAGGTCTCATATAGTTCGATAGTGCTTTTCAATCATTAGAAGATGGTATAAAAATATGGAGGAAAAACGCAATACTAAGGGCACTGCTATAGGAATATGATTTTTTGTTATGGTGTTTTTCTTTGGTATTCGAAGGACTTCGATCAGAAAAGTGACGATCTCGATAATAAGTAATATGATGTTCTACATCAGTATTCAAAAGTAAACGGACTTATATTAATTACAAAGATTTTTTCAAACTGTTTTTCTTTTCGTTGAAAAATTTTCCAGTGGTCACCCTCAGAATTGATTCAAAAAATAAATTTTATTGAAACAATGTTTTTATTGGTTATTTATCTGGCATTTTCAGTTATACTGTCATTTTAGAATCATAAAACTTGATTGCAATTGTTGAAATAGCCTTTTGTTGTAGCTCATGTCTTAACTAAACTGTGAAAGAGGACTACAGAAAAGTTTTTTAGCGAAAAAAAGTTATTGAAAATCTTTGAAATTAATACTAGTCCACTTAATTTTGAATGCTGATGTAGAATATCATATTACTTATTACTGAAATCGTCACTACATACAAAAAAATCATATCTCTACAGTAGTGGCTTTGAGATTGTCCTAAGTGAATAGTGCTTATGTCTTGGCGTTTTTATATCACCTTGTAGCACATGAAAAGTGTTATCGAGCCATGTGAAAACTAGTTCGATGGGTGATAACGTATTAATTGTTGATGCACAATTCCGTGGAACAACGAATATAATATAGACATCTCTATGCAATGCACTTTGTATGAAGTCATAGAAGTCAATTCTTTTCCCCCATGATTTTTATACTATTTTGTAATGATTGAAAAGCACTATCGATTTCATGAGAACTAGCCTAGTAAATCATCAACTTGACAGACAAAAACAAAGGATGATGATTAACAGTCAGATTAAACGCACGTATGGTAATAGTCATTGACATTCTCAATGGGCTTCCAACTTCAGAAACAATATTATAGGGCATATTATACCAGGAATCACTTTCCAGCATTCCTTATAGATGTTTGATATAGAAGGAATAAAAGAGTGAATGTGAATGGTGTGAGTGTTTTTATCACACACAGATACACCGATGCTGGTACCAGCACCAATACTCAAAAACACAGGATGTATATCCATATCATCGGCTTAGACAACGTTATTGATCAATGTTTCGAGCGCAAAAGAACAAATCTTCACAACTGACAATCGAGATCGATTGAACTCCAGATTTAATCTCGGAATACTGATATATGGAACTGAGAACAGAAAAGTACGAAATCTGATCATCTAAGGATTATTCCATTTTTATTCTCTATGAGGATATGGATGTGGTAGTGGGTAGAATAGAGACTTCATCCTCATCCACATTTATACTCACATCCATAGAGAAACCTACCCACACCAACATCCTATATAGCTGGACCGCAGAAAGACAATCAAGACAAGATATAGAAATAAGAAAGAAATAGAAAACAATATTAGAATGGTGAATATGTATAAGTACGATGTCATTGTAACAGTGTTTTCAAATCATTGAAGCTTAAATAGTACGGAAAGAAATAAAAGATTCATGTATGAGTCTAATGAGTAATGTTTCAGTCTAATAATGATTATCCATATAATTCTGCACTGTTCAAATAGCCAAGAGAGTTAGATCCACTAGCAACTAAGACTTTGCCATTAGTTAATATGAATGCTGTGTGAAGATACCGTCCAGAACTCATGTTGCCAGTTATGGTCCAATATCCTGTTGATGGATCGTACAGTTCTACACTCTGTAAATAGCCAATCAAGTCGTATCCACCAGCAACTAAAACTTTTCTAGTGCTTAGTATCGATGCTGTGTGAAGGTATCGTCTAAAACTCATGTTGCCAGTCATTGTCCAAAGTTCTGTTGATGGATCGTACAGTTCTGCACTATATAAAGCGCTACCAGAACCAAATCCGCCAGTAACTAAAACTTTTCCAGTGCTTAGTATCGATGCTGTATGAACGTACCGTGCAGAACTCATGTTGCAAGTCATTGTCCAAACTCCTGTTGATGAATCGTACAGTTCTGCACTAGATAAAAAACCATTAGAGCTGTTTCCACCAGTAACTATAACTTCTCCAGTGCTTAGTATCGATGCTGTATGATATTGTCGTGCAACATTCATACTGTTGGTATTCGACCATACTACAAAAAAGTATACTAATGCAGCAATCTGAGAGTTTGCACATGAACTTTCTTTATCAGTTTTGTAGGAAATAGCTATCCATTTAGATTCATATTTATTTCTCGTAAGGTTCTCACATCTATGAGTCACTGCACAAGAAGTGCAATCTAGCTATAGGGAGAAGTGCTCAATCGAAAATTTTCAATTCGAATCTCTTATTGCTTTTTTTTATAGTGCCTGTTTTTTTTTAAGATCATTGGTAACATTTTCAGAGTTATAGAATGTACTCAACAAGATTGAAAAAAGTGAGTTTCCCGACTTTGCTTCAGTGTTTTCTTGATGACATCTGTAAGTGTTATTGAAATACCTTCCTGCCAACAGAAGTTAAAGCTCTGAGGGCGTGAGTGTAGCTTGGGTATGGATTATGAAAGCGATCAGACTCACTACCTCCATACGAGCTCACACTCACACCCGCACTTCATACCTGAATCAGTCGTTATATTAGTAGTGGCTTGCTTTGTAAATACAGCAACAATTCCATATATACCAAATGCTGTGTCCACACAGATAAGCACATTAAGGATCGGCAGTATGAAAATAAACGCCGAAAATGACTTCTTTTTAATCTTGGTAGCGTCTTTCTTCAAAGTTCTAAAACAAATAAAATTTCTTGCAGTTGAAAAATGATAGATGAGAAACAATTGGGTACGCTTTATCAATAGATAAATAGAGGTTGATCTTATTAGTGTTACTAACGTGCCGAAATGCTTGGATAGTGGCCTGTCTTTGATATAATATTGATGGTATTATAGACGAAGAATGATAATTCACAGAAGGTTTGAGTGCTCGAGATGGTTTCACATGCGAAGAGAAATAATGAATCTTATGTGTTTGCTTCGTATATTGAGGCTTTACCTATGAAGTAAAAGATTTTACTTTCTCGAGTTGTTCATTGGAAGATAAATCTAATTAATATTCCGATAATATATTGAAGACTATAGGTACCTGGGATTGCTTCTCAGATAACGTGTTTCTTGGAACATTGAACATTTTGATACGTTAATATATATATATATATATATGTATATATCTTGAAAATATTCTGATTTTTTCTACTACTATGTGACGAAACAGATTTAATAGTCTTGAAGTTTTCTCTCTTATTAACTATTTTTCTCATTTGAATGACTGCATATGTTTCATGTATCGTATATTAATAAGGTAGGAGAAATCTTGTCAATACTGCAGAAGAGACTATACTTTTGCCTTTTGAATTACTCTCGCAACCTATAAAGTGTTTCGCCAGAATGCATTACTTGCTGTATTATTCATTTAAAACAAAGTTTTGACACTCCATACTGTACAACTCATAAGCAAATAAAAAACTTCGAACGAAAATGATGAATAGATTGAGTCTCTATTCAATTTTTTTCCATGGACTCATTTCAATAAAGTCAATCTCGTAATGCAAAGTGGATTCCTACCATCGATTGTTTCTCATTTGTTTATTGAAAGCTTGCATTATTAAAACTGCGTGGCAGCAATGCAAGAAGAACAAAAGAATACAAGAAAGACTAAATAAGAGAGACTTTGGTAAGCTAATACAAGATTCAACTAAAAACAATGATGCAATAGGTATCAACACACAACGAAGAGACATAGCCATTATTAGAGCTCTGGCGGGTGTGGATGACTAGAGGATTTCGTCTAATATGATTTTGTGTGTTGGGTGGTATGGGGGTAGTGGGTCTGATCGCTTTCATCATCCACACTCACACTCACATCTATACTTAGACCCATATACCTTTCTCCAAATGGTGGGTGTGGGTGTGGGTGTGATCAGCTGCCATGACACGTGTTTCGATCCAGCCACGGATCTCATTCAGATGGCAATTAGTACTCGAGAATTTCAGGGGAAAGGCGGGGTACGATATCTAAAGTCTCAAAGGTTTGTACTTTTTAGATGTTGAATATGTGAGGAGTATAGCTGATGTTATTCGTAAGGTTAGGTTTTTGTTTGTTGAAATTTTAGTTTTTAGGTTTTTGTTTTGTATTTTTTGCAAAAGAATGTTTTATTTGTATGTAATTTGTTTGTGCCCAGTTTGTGGAATTTTTTTGTGTTTGAAACCGTGTGTCGTACGGAATTGCTTTGCTTTTAGGGTTTGGTATCTCTGTTGCATTGAGCAAGGTGACGAGTAACTGTCTGAACGGTTTGGTTTGTTTTTAACGTTTGTGTGCTTTTATAGGAGGAAGAGTGATTTTTCGCTTGGACTTGTCTTAGTATATGCTGTCGTGCACTGTTTTTTAGAGCGTGCTAAGTTCCCCCTGGAAGATGTGTAGTGTGTTTTGCAATTGTTAATAGAAATTCGTATCGTGTTATCACTTTATTTTTCGAAAAGAAAATGTTCCTACAGCAGAGCTTACATACTGATTGTCCGTCAATGTTTATGAATGTTTTCTGTTTATCATTGTATTTGGTTAGGTTCAGTTATTGTGTGTGGATTGTTCGATTTCTGTTGGCTTCGATTAATTCTGTTTCTGATTTTGTTTTTGTTTTCGTCCTTCTAAAAGATAATAATGATTTTTATTTCGTTAGTTATATCGAATGCTTTATTTAGTTGTAGTCATACTGTGAATCTGTTTGTTCTGGAGTAGGTGTTTTTTCGGTCGTTTTCGAATTAGTTGATGTTTTGCGTCGCGACGATTACGATTGCCGACTATCATTTTGATATGGCCAACAGGTGAATCCTTGAAAACTTTGTCGTATGCTGTGTGCATGTCTCGTTTCATTGAATCAAATCGTTTTTCATGTTTATAATGTATGAGGAGTTGGTCGGCATACTGAGGTTTTTGAGCAGGATTTTCTTTATTCCTTCTTTGCTTTCAGCAATTATGTCATCAGTTTGGTTATTATCGAGGTCGGCTGTTGCCGCACTTGTTGCCACTTGTGACGCTCTGTACGTTGGCTGGTCTAATAGTTTATTGTGCATAATGAAAAATTGTTTTTCATTGTCGATAATAGGTAAAAATGATGTTAAGTTTAGATGTTCATAAAAAAACTTATAAAACTCTTTGTCAATAAATGTCGACGGATAGCTAATCATCAATATGTTCGTGGAATTTTTCATGTGAAATAAAGAAAAAATAGGACTTACCCATTATATAATAGTGCTAATTGAATGTAGCGTCGTTCATTATTGAAGCTTTCAAATGTAGATGAATATCGTGCAGCACGTGCCAGACTAGTTTGTATAACATTGACGAAGACATGTCGAGGATGATCAGATAGGAATGGTACAACATAAGGTTCAGCTGCTGGTTTGTGATACACCGATGTTGTTAGAATGCCATTATTGTTGGTAAAAAGAACATCAAGAAATGGTAGACTTTTACCGATTTTATATTCTAATTTAATATTTGGATGCCATTTGTTTCCATCATCTAATAAATCTTTTAACGATTTTTCTGATTTATTCCATGTCATAAATATGTCATCAATGTATCTAAGAAGAAAATTAAAATAAATACTTTTCTCTGATTTTTCTTTGTCTACCTACTGGCCGTAAAATTCACCAGTCATATCTTGTCGTCGAACGAGTTCTTTTTGCCATTTCCACATGAATATATTTGCTAAGGTTAATGTAAATGATGAACCCATAGCACCACCAAGTACTTGTTTGTAAATTTTATTACCATACACAAAAACATTTTCTTTGAGAACAATTGCAGCTAATTGTCGAATAGTTTCAAGATCAATACCTTTGACTTTGGTGTATCCATGAAATCGAAGAAATTCAACCAGAATATCAAGTGCTTCATTTTGTGGTAACATTGTACATAAATTACGAATATCAAATGTACAACAGAGTGTCGTTGGGTGTGGGTGTGGGTGTGGGTGTGGGTGTGGGTGTGGGGGAGGGTGCGGGTGTCGGGGTGGGTGCGGGCGTGGG